GAATGGGGAGGTTGTAGTCGCAAGAAACTGCAGCATTTGTCTTAACGCTGGAAAAATTGCTTTTGTTTTTTGTCGGGCACAGGCCAGTTGATAAAAGAGCTGTTCTGTCTGTCTCTTGCTCTCCCTCTTTAGCCCTCTGACATGAGCACGCAGGAAATGTAACGTTACACAGCCTCACTATCAGCAGAACTTCCAAGCAAGTAACAGAAACGGGCCAAATTAATCCTGAAAATCCAGCTCGCTCTCCCATGGCACTAATTGATCACAGATGCCCTTCTGCCCAGGAGCGACGGGGCTTTCTTTTGAGCAGGGATAGCCCGTGTTGCCCTGATCCCTGCTGAGCCCCTTGAAAAATCCTGGTTTATTTCTATATTTCCCTTTGCAATTTCCCATTATCTCCCCCCACGCCCCTCACGCAGATCCTACACCAGGCGCGTGGGATGACAGGGCTGGAGTTGGGCTGGGAACTAATCAGCAGCCTCTGACAGGATCCGAACAAAACCTTCTGTGGTGTGCTCAATCTACAAGAGCCTGAGTCTGATTTATAGCTGCTGAAATCAATCCCTCCCTGTCCGTTTCTTTTAATCACATCAAGAGAAGAATTACGTGTTCTGTGTTCAAGGGGGAAATTAATTTTATTTATTTATTTATTTGTCTATCTATCTATTTGAATTTGTCTTATGCTCGTTTAAGAAGCAAAATTTGGATTTGGGGCTTTTTTTTTTTCCTTTTCTGTTTGGAGCATGCAGAAAAAGTATCTTGGAAGGGATAAAATAATTCTTCATAGCTGGAAGCTTAACTCTTTTCTTTCCTGTGGTGGTTCCTTTCATCTGTCAGCTCCCTCCTTACCCAAGCACGGGAAAATAGCAGCATTCATGTGACTGTTTTTCTGTAATTCACTGTGGATTAATAGTGAAGGGTCCTTAGCTGGTATAAATCAGTCTACCTCCACTGAGACCGAGTTTCACCAGCTAAGTATCTGGTCCAAGCTGTTTCATTTCTGTATATGCATGTTATAGCTTTGGACCTCTAACTCAGCTAGTTGGGACTTTGAGGAAACAGCACTGGCCACGACACAACCTTTGTGTGTCTGCAAATAATATTTTAATAAGAAATACTAGAAACAAATTGGTAATTAATGTATTTGTAATACATAGCATGAAATAATGTTGCTAAGGGCCAGCTTCCTGGCTCCTTACTTTTTACTTAGTCAAGCAGACTCCAGTTCCTATTGACTTCAGTTTACCAATGTAAGGACAGAGTAAAAACCAAGTAAGGACCCCAGGAAATAGCCCCTTGGCCATAAATGGTGCATCTGGGCCAAATTCTGCTATGGTGTAAATTAACATTACTCAGCTGACCTCAGCGGAGTTATCTGGATTTATGGCAGCTGTGAAAAGATGGCTTGGTGCAATTCTAGAAAGCTTCAGCTTGCTCCTTGTCACCTCTCCTTTCCCACTGTTCCCAGCTGCCGCTCTTTGTTTTTTCTGATCTGGGATGCAGGGCTATGTGGGTCCACCTGGCTTATGGCAAGCTCTAGAGTAGTGCTGCAGTGGTTCTAGCAAAGGTATCTGGGTGTCCGAGGAGTGGGGACGCACTTTGAAAGTCTCTGGACCTGAGGACCTGTAAAGTGGTGCCAAGAATCGGGCCACTTCTGAGGCTATTGCTCTTGGCTTCCCAAGGTCTCTAATGTGGGGGGCAGACCCAAAATGAGCGATGCGCCAGGCAGAAACCAGCTGAGGAGGACGCTGGCAATGAGAGGCATTAATAATATCTGTAACATGTATACAAGTGTTCCTGCCCACAAAAGTCTTGGTCCTGCTTCTCTTCCCCAAACGAAACTGTACAATGGTGGAAGAATTGACTTGTGACTGGGCAGGGAACGGGCTGCAGGATCGGGCCCTGGTTTTTTGGAAAGCTGCATTCCTGCATTGGAGGAGGAATCGACAAGGAGGAACTTCTGGGGACAGAGATCAAATGAGCAGTGTGCTCTTTAATGAGTCCCAATTAACAGACATGTTTGGGGGTGGGCTAGTATCACATAGACAGTATCTTACTTTCCAGGTACATTGCTCTGTAGAGAGACTATTGATTTAAACCAGTGTGATGCTGATGGAGACGACTACAGGCTAGAGTTAAAGTAGAGGTACTGGGTCTCCCCATCTGGTGCATGGGATAGCGCAAACTCGTGGCAGCTCTAACTACATTTACTCTAATGTAGCAGTGCTCCTTTGAGGCCAACACTTTCCAGTAATGCTCCTCCTTATGTGCAGTGACTTTAAAAATTTTAAGGGCCCTCTGTTTTTTCCACCAATCCGTTACATCAGCTGTGAGACCTGATGGTTGCTGATGCATTACTGACTATAGGACCCTCCAGAGAAATGTGCTGACAGCAATATAGTCGCTGTGAACATGTTTATAAATCAAAAAACCCAATCAAAAAAAGTAGAGGAAGTAATAATAGTTTTTTTGAAAACATAAAAACCGGTACAGTGCTTGGATCCAACTCTCTCCTTCTGCTGAGATCAGCGCGCCAGGGTGGAAAGGTTTAATTAGCACGCTTTAGATAACGCAGTTACAAGGCCAGAAACATGACCGATAAAACTGCCTGTGCTTCCCAGTCACGACATATGCAGCAAGGCAGCTTGATCTTTCCAGGTAAAAGAGAGTTAGTGACTTCGGAGCATCGGCCCTCAATTGTAAACTCCCCGGCTGAATGAAAAGCCAGTGGGTGCTTTTGAAAACGTTGCCGTCAGTCCCATCGGACAAAAACAAAGTCTTATCTAAAATACTCTGTCTGGCTGGAGAGCCTAAACAGCAATTAATGCTTGCAAAGCTGACATTTCCCTGAACTGCCAGTCAAATACATATTTAGAGATGTGTGTCTGTCACAGTACATATGTGCACCCCAGGGATACGCTGAATCCTAGAGTACATGCCTCAGCGCCCTGTGACACCCTCGTACAGTGAGCGAAACCATCCGTCTCGCAGAAGTTGCCTTCAGATCTGTTGCAAAGTTTGTTTATAGACTCCCCTCTCCTCTACGGCTCTTTCCTTTTTGTTCTGTAATCCATGGAGAGCATTTTACCTTCTTGTCAAGCAATTAACATTTAAAATTATAATAGTAAAGGACTCCCTCCTACAAACCGTTATTCAAAGACCTGTCCTATTGGAGTGCACTGGGGATATTTACATAAGCAAGGGTTAGTCACGTAGCAATTTTCAGGATCTAGCTCAAATTTTATGCTTCCGTCTCTTGCCTGTTGCTGAGTTTGGACAGTATCAGCGTAAAAGACTACTATTTTACCTGCGGTAGGGTATGTGGGAGCTGCTTATAGCTTACCAGTCTTCCCTTTTTTAAATTGTATTAATTTTTCCTGCATCTGTTTTTCTTGTGTAACATATTATTTTATGGTGAAACACGGTAGAACGGCATTGACAAGTCATTTGGGAAGGGGAGGAACAGAACTGTGATCTAATCATGATTTTTTTCCCTGCAATGTAAGCTTGTGAGAGATGATCTGATAGTATTTTTTTTTGACAAAGGTTCGCTGTAACCAGAATGGCACTCTGTGCGCTGCATCACTTTACAAACATTGTGACTGTCGCCGTTTTGCTAAAAAGCAGATAAAGGTTTGCTATAAGGAGCACTTGCAGAATTTTAAGCTCTGCCCACGAGGAGAAATGTGCTAGGAAAAGTTTTGCTTTATGTGTTTCAAAGCAAAGGTCTGTGGCTTGCTTTTTACTAGTCACTTTCCTTTCTGTTGGTCCATCTATCCGTTATATTTCCTTTCCTGCGACATCCCTTCCTTCTACATCTAAGGCATGGATCACCTTGATTGCTCAAGCACACTACAAAATTAGCATCAAAATCTGTAACTAAAGCGTGCCGTGGCTTGTGAATTAAGGTGGCGGCATTGTTTTTGTGTCACTATTGTAGAGGAGTTGTGCAGGAGGCCAAGAGATTTTCCCATCTGATTCATTGACACGAACGAATAAAACGTACACACATAATGTAGCGGGAGAGAGAAATGGCAAAGCTGGTCGGCAATCTGTCTGATTTTGGAAAGATCAGTACAGAAAAGTAGCCGATTTGCTTTCCAGAGTCTAAGATATCTGCTACGAATCAGGAAGAAAAAGCTTTACAGTCTTAGCTACTATTTCCTTTCTATGAGGGGAAAACCGAGACCTTGCAAAACCCCAAGAATCTTTCTAGACTGGCGGAGTGAGAGGGCGACCATGGGGTGTCTTCGGTGTTGACTGGGAAAAGTTTTCATCCTTTTACAGCTGGAAGAGTTCCCCTAATTTCCTGGCAAGAATGATGCTGTGAACTAGAGCCTGTGCACGCAGACACTAATGATAGGGAGTGGGCTTAGCGGCTTCTCGCTGCATTCAGACGGGCGTTAGTCACTGGACAAGGCACCTCTCCCCGACTAAAGCCCAGAGAGGACCGACCGCTCTGCCATAGTTACCGCAGAGCAGCGCTTTGGAGCACGCTCCTCAGGAGTGTTTACAAGTGCTCTGCTCTGCTCCTTCAAGGGGCTCTTTTTCATTTTCTTTACGAGCGCAGAAGGAATCGGGATGCCGGGGTCTCCGCTCACGGTTGGCGGAGAGGAAAACGGGGCCACTGGGTGCCAAGCGATTTTTTTTTTTTTTTTCCCTCAGAGGAAGATAAGCCTTGCTGCTGCGATCCCTGGCGTTATTACTGCTAGTATTGCGAATTTGCCACCAAATCCCTGAACCTCCCCGGCTCCCCCTTCCCCGAGCGGCCGGGTGCTGGAGACCCCTCTGCCCACGCTGGGGGTTTCTGCCATTCAAAACTGCCTCTGGCGCTTCGACGGCGGCTTGGGCCCGGGGGGGCCGCCAGTGTCAGCACCCCTTTGCCCCCCCTCCCCCCCGGGATGCGAGCCGGCTCTCCCTGTCTGGGACTTGCAACCCCCTCAGAGCAAGCCCCGGCTCTGCCCCGGGCCGGCGGCGGAGGGCCGGGCCGCGCTACTCACTGTCCTGAGGCGCCGCCTCGCTGCCGCTGCTGCCCCCGGACGGGTCCTGCGCGCCCTTGGCGCCGTCC